GAAACTCAGTGGAAGCAGCTTAATAACATGTGATTCCACTTCCGGGTTTACAACGTTTTCAATGTTTTATAGTAGAGTATCTACAACTTCCTGAAGGGCATGCTGAGGAAACAGGTTCCATTCTTGGAAGACACTATTTAGCAAAAATCACAGTGGTCTCGTTCACTCACAATAATCTGTTACTTTTAACGTTATACTTATGAGATTATCGCCATGCTGTAATAACCTTTGATACTGTTCCTCTTGTAAAGCCAAGATGTTGTGTAATCTGGGTTACTAAAGCAACTACTAATCATAATTGGGCTCCTACATCTTGTCCCTTTCTGGAAAGTCGTGCCAGTAACATATATTTCCAAAGTTGGCCGACGACTAATGTAAAATATAAGATTATCATCCATAAGGTCATTACAATAACAAATTAACCACCAAGAGGAGGATTTAGTCCATTTAACATGTGGAGAATACTGGGAACACCTTTAAATAGGTGTTTCCTATTTTCTGTCCAACCTCTCTAGCATTGGGTTTCATGAATATGATTACAATTTACGAGGACTGTTAACAACATATACTATCTTATTAAAACTATATTTCTAGCGGCTATAATCAACAAACATATAGTTAAATTACATCTTTCTCCAGATTTCTTCTTCATTTTAATCATCTATACAGAGTATGGATGTAATGCTCACTTTTTCTTAAATATTAGTGATAACAAATATCCATAAAAGTTTTAATGAGTGCAATTAACACATTTCTCTCAGGTTTTGGGATATATTCATATGTATAGTATTTTAGAAAAGTAAAATTTACATAATTTCAACAATTTGCAGAATGGTCATTTGTGGCAACCAGCTCTGACAGACCACTATTTCACAAAATCTGCAGAATGATTACTTATGACGCACATCTTGTAGGATGATTATTTATAATATTTGTGACACACAACTCATTACTGTGACACTCTGTTGTTAGTTACCGAAGATGATTCTATGTGATAACTCTGCAAATACTCATTAAAGTCTGTAGTG